GAGACTCACAGAGACTCACAGAGACGTTCAGAGGCTCACAGAGACTCTCAGAGATACATAGAGACTCTCAGAGACTCACAGAGATACGTAGAGACTCACAGAGACTCACAGAGATACGTAGAGACTCACAGAGATACGTAGAGACTCACAGAGACTCACAGAGACTCACAGTGACTCACAGAGACTCACAGAGACTCACAGAGACTCACAGTGATACGTAGAGACTCACAGAGACGTAGAGACTCACAGAGACTCACAGAGACACACAGAGACTCACAGAGATAGGTAGAGACTCACAGAGATACGTAGCGACTCACAGACTCACAGAGACTCACAGAGACACGTAGAATCTCACAGAGATACGTAGAGACTCACAAAGACTCACAGAGATACGTAGAGATACGTAGAGACTCACATAGACTCACAGAGACTCACAGTGATACGTAGAGACTCAGAGACTTTCAGAGACTCACAGAGACTCACAGTGTACATAGAGACTCACAGAGACTCACAGAGATAAGTAGAGACTCACAGAGACTCACATTGATACGTAGAGACTCACAGAGACTCACAGACTCTCAGAGACTCACAGTGACTCTTAGAGACTCACAGTGACTCTTAGAGACTCACAGACATACGTAGAGACTCACAGAGACTCACAGAGATACGCAGAGACTCACAGAGACTCTCAGAGACTCACAGAGATACGTAGAGCCTCGCAGAGACTTTCAGAGACTCACAGAGACTCACAGAGATACGTAGAGACTCTCAGAGATAGGTATAGACTCTCAGAGACTCACTGAGATACGTAGAGACTCACAGAGATATGTAGAGACGCACAGAGACTCACAGAGACTCACAGAGACGTTCAGAGGCTCACAGAGACTCACAGAGATACGTAGAGACTCACAGAGACTCCCAGAGATACGTAGAGACTCCCAGAGATAAGTAGAGACTCACAGAGACTCCCAGAGATACGTAGAGACTCACAGAGACTCCCAGAGATACGTAGAGACTCCCAGAGATACGTAGAGACTCACAGAGACTCACAGAGATATGTAGAGACTCACAGAGATACGTAGAGACTCACAGAGATACGTAGACACTCACAGAGACTCACAGAGACAAGTAGAGACTCACAGAGATACGTAGAGATACGTAGAGACTCACAGAGACTCCCAGAGATATAGAGACTCGCAGGGACTACCAGTGATACGTAGAGACTCACAGAGATACGTACAGACTCACAGAGATACGTAGAGATTCAAAGAGACTCAGAGACACGTAGAGACTCACAGAGACTAACAGAGACTCACAGAGATACGCAGAGACACAGAGATATGTAGAGACTCACAGAGACTCAGAGATACGTAGAGATACGTAGAGACTCACATAGACTCACAGAGACTCACAGAGACATGTAGAGACTCTCAGAGACTCACAGAGACTCACAGTGATACGTAGAGACTCAGAGACTTTCAGAGACTCACAGAGACTCACAGTGTACATAGAGACTCACAGAGACTCACAGAGATAAGTAGAGACTCAAAGAGACTCACATTGATACGTAGAGACTCACAGAGACTCACAGACTCTCAGAGACTCACAGTGACTCTTAGAGACTCACAGACATACGTAGAGACTCACAGAGACTCACATAGATACGTAGAGACTCACAGAGACTCTCAGAGACTCACAGAGATACGTAGAGCCTCGCAGAGACTTTCAGAGACTCACAGAGACTCACAGAGATACGTAGAGACTCTCAGAGATAGGTAGAGACTCTCAGAGACTCACTGAGATACGTAGAGACTCACAGAGATACGTAGAGACGCACAGAGACTCACAGAGACTTTCAGAGGCTCACAGAGACTCACAGAGATACGTAGAGACTCCCAGAGATACGTAGAGACTCACAGAGACTCCCAGAGATACGTAGAGACTCACAGAGACTCCCAGAGATACGTAGAGACTCCCAGAGATACGTAGAGACTCACAGAGACTCACAGAGATATGTAGAGACTCACATAGATACGTAGACACTCACAGAGACTCACAGAGACAAGTAGAGACTCACAGAGATACGTAGAGATACGTAGAGACTCACAGAGACTCCCAGAGATATAAAGACTCGCAGGGACTAACAGTGATACGTAGAGACTCACAGAGATACGTAGAGACTCACAGAGATACGTAGAGATTCAAAGAGACTCAGAGACACGTAGAGACTCACAGAGACTAACAGAGACTCACAGAGATACGCAGAGACACAGAGATATGTAGAGACTCACAGAGACTCAGAGATACGTAGAGACTCACAGAGATACGTAGAGACTCACAAAGATACGTAGAGACTCACAGAGATACGTAGAGACTCACAGAAACTCACAGTGATATGTAGAGACTCACAGGAACTCACAGAGACTCACAGAGATACGTAGAGACTCACAGAGACTCACAGAGACTCTCAGAGACTCACAGAGACTCAGTGATATGTATAGACTCACAAAGACTCACAAAGACACGTAGAGACTCACAGAGATATGTAGAGACTCACAGAGACTCACAGTAATATGTAGAGACTCACAGGAACTCACAGAGATACGTAGAGACTCACAGAGACTCACAGAGACTCTCAGAGACTCTCAGAGACTCAGTGATATGTATAGACTCAAAGACTCAAAAAGACACGTAGAGACTAACAGAGATACGTAGAGACTCACAGAGACTCACAGTGATATGTAGAGACTCACAGGAACTCACAGAGACTCACAGAGACTCAGTGATATGTATAGACTCACAAAGACACGTAGAGACTCAATAATACGTAGAGACTCACAGAGACTCTCCGAGACTCACAGAGACTCCCATACAAACCCAGAGACTCATCACACAGAGTGACCCATGGACTCAGAGACTCATACAGACCCAGAGACTCATCACACAGAGTGACCCATGGACTCAGACTTATACAGACCCAGAGACTCACACGTAAAAATAAATAAATAAATAAACAAAAGGGTGCCCCTTGCGTTTGTGTAGATTCCAAAGATGCCATTGCCGGGTCGGCGATGTGAACCACAGACTCACACAGAGACTCGTAGAGTCACACAGAGACCCGCAGGTCCAACACAAAAGACCCGCAGGTCCAACACAGAGAACCACAGACTCACACAGAAACCCACAGACTCAGACAGAGACCCACAGACTCACACAGAGACTCATTCACAGAGACCCACAGGTCCCAAACAGAGAACCACAGACTCACAGAGACCCACAGACTCACACAGAGACCCACAGACTCACACAGAGACACGTAGAGTCACACAGAGACCCGCAGGTCCCACACAGAGAACCACAGACTCACACAGAGACCCACAGACTCACACAGAGACCCACAGACTCACACCGAGACCCACAGACTCACACAGAGACCCACAGACTCACACAGAGACCCACAGACTCACACAGAGACCCGCAGGTCCCACTGAGACCACCAGACTCACACAGAGAACCACAGACTCACAAAGAGACCCACAGACTCACAGAGACCCATAGACTCACACAGAGACCCATAGACTCACAAAGAGACACAGAGGCACGCAGGTCCCACACAGACTCCCCGCTCACCAGCGAAAGACTTCGCAGCATCAGACAACCCATTGAGTCGCACACAAAGAGACCCATTCATGAACTCTGACATCATTACAGAGACCCACAGGCGCTCACACAAAGACAAAGACCCCTCCCCCCGTTTAGCCTCAACAGACTGTTGGGGTAAGTGCTGTTAGCGAGCACCTATTAAGGCCGGCATGGCACACGAGGGGGAGGGTGGCCAAATTCACGCCCGACCCACAGACTCACACAGAGACTCACAGACTCACACAGAGACCCACAGACTCACACAGAGACCCACAGACTCACACAGAGACCCACAGACTCACACAGAGACCCATAGACTCACACAGAGACCCATTGACTCACACAGAGATCCCAGACTCACACAGAGACCCACAGACTCACCACACAGAGACCCATAGACTCAGCACACAGAGACCCACAGACTCACACAGAGACCCCATTGACTCACAGAGCCACACGGACTCACACAGAGACCCATAGACTCACAGAGAGACCCATTGACTCACACAGAGCCACACAGAGACTCATTCAAAGAGACGCACAGAGACCCACAGATTCACACAGAGACCCATAGACTCACACAGAGACCGGCAGATGCACACAGAGACCCACAGACTCACACAGAGACCCGTAGACTCACATAGAGACTCAGACTCACACAGAGACCCACAGATTCACACAGAGACCTATAAACTCACACAGAGACCGGCAGACGTACACAGAGACCCACAGACTCACACAGAGACCCGTAGACTCACATAGAGACTCAGACTCACACAGAGACCCACAGACTCACACAGAGACCCGCAGACTCACACAGACACCCACAGACTCACACAGAGATCAATTCACTAACACAGAGACCCACACACTAACACAGAGACCCACACACTAACACAGCGACCCACACACCCACACAGAGACCCATTAACTAACACAGAGCCCCACAGACTCACCCACACAGAGACCGATTCACTAATACAGAGACCCATTAACTCACACAGAGAGCCATTAACTAACACAGAGACCCATAGACTCACACAGAGACTCATAGACTCATCACAGAGACTCATAGACACACACAGAGACTCACAGACGCACCACAGAGACCCACAGAGACCCACAGACTCACCACAGAGACCCACAGACTCACCACAGAGACCTACAGACTCACCACAGAGACCTACAGACTCACACCGAGACTCGATGGGAAGTGAGCGGTTAATTGCGGCAGCTGGCCCAGTCAGAGATAGATTTGGAAGGCCTAGCTCAGTCAGTGGATAGGCCACAACCGATGACGACGATGACGATGATGACGGTGGGGTAGAGATGTCTGGTTGATGATCAAAGTCACTCACCTCCTCCCCCTCCTACTGCACTCGTACTGACACCACCACCGCCACCTCCGCCATCACCGCCACCTCCGCCATCACCGCCACCCCAACCTCCGCCTCTTCCAGCCACCTCCCTCTTCCGAAGGTCCAACACGCCCCACTCAAACTCTGCCCTCCGCTCCTCCTCCTCCTCATGCTGCTCCCGCTGCTCCTGCTGCCGCTGCTGCTGCTGCCCCTGCTGCCGCTGCTGCCCCTGCTGCTGCCCCTGCTGCTGCCCCTGCTGCTGCTGCCCCTGCTCCTGCTGCTGCCCCTGCTCCACCACCACGACCAGCATCGCCGGCGTCGTCACCACCACGACCGTCGCCCCGTCGGCCGGCGCCGCGGCCTGGTCCTCGCGGTGCGTCCTCAGGTGGGCCTTGAGGTTGCAGTTCAGCGAGAACCTCCGTCCGCAGCGCTCGCAGCCGTAGGGCCGCTCCCCCGTGTGCGTCCGCCGGTGGGCCTCCAGGTGGGGCCTCTGGGCGAAGCGGCGGCCGCAGTCGCCGCAGGCGTGCGGCCGCTCCCCCGTGTGCGTCCGCCGGTGGACGCGCAGGCCGCTGGCGTAGGCGAAGCGGCGGCCGCAGTCGGCGCACGCGTGCGGCCTCCCGCCGGCGTGCGTGGCCCGGTGCTCCCTGAGCGAGGAGGCCTGCGCGAAGGCCTTGCCGCACTCGCACGCGAACGTCGGCCGGCCGCCGGCGACGACGACGGGAGCCGGCGGCCCGCGGGCCGTCCGGCGGCCGGCCCCTTCGCCGGCGACGTTCTCGGGCGGGGGCGGCGACGGCGGGGCCCTCCGGGGGCGGCCGCGGCGGTCGTCGGCCGAGGCGGCGGCGGCGGCGGCGTCGTGCGTCGCCTCGTGGGCCCGCAGGTTCGAGCGCAGGGCGAAGGCGCGGCCGCAGCGGCCGCAGGCGTGGGGCCGCTCGCGGGTGTGGGTGGCCAGGTGGGCCCGCAGGTGCTGCCCCTGGGCGAACTGGCGGCCGCAGTGCGCGCAGGCGTAGGGCCGCTCGCCCGTGTGGGTCCGCCCGTGGACGGAGAGCGCCTGCCGGCTGCCGAAGCGCTTCTCGCAGACGTCGCACGCGAAGCGACGGGCCGCGTCGCCGCCGCCGCCGCCGCCGGCGGCGGGGGACGTCGGGGCGAGGGGGGCGGCCGAGACGGCGGCGGCGGCGGCGCGGGCCGCCAGGGCGGCGATGGCCGGCGAGAGGAGGAGGGGCGGGGGCGGAGGCAGCGGCGGCGGCGGCTGCGGGAGCCGAGGCTGCGTTAGCCGTGGTTGTGGCGGCGGTTGTTGCGGGAGCCGTGGTGGTGGCGGTGGCGGTGGCGGCGGTGGTGGCGGCATAGCCCGGACGAGCCCCCATTCTTTCCGAACGTCCTCCTCCGTGTATTCCTGCTTCATGGTGGTGGTTTCTGGTGGACAGAGACAAGTTGGGGACAAGCCGCGGCGTTCGTTCGATCGATAATACACCACACTATATATTACTATACACTACACTATACACTACACTATACACTACTACACTATACACTACTACACTATACACTACACACTACTACACTAGACACTACACTACTACACTATACACTACTACACTAGACACTACTATACACTACACTATACACTACACTATACACTACTACACTATACACTACATTATTATACACTCACGATACATTACTATTCACTACACTCCGATACACTCAACTACACATTACTATACACTACACTATACACGACACTACTATACACTAGTATACACTACACTATACTACACACTACACTATATACTAAACTACTTTTCACTACACTATACACTACACTACTAAACACTACACTATACACGACTATTCACGACACTATGCACTACACGCTTGGGAGACCCTGGTCTCAGTCTCTGGATCGCCTTCAGTACTTCCTCAACAGATGGCACCTCAGCCAGCCACTCACAGGGGGTGACTTCTTCTCCAAATAGTTGAGGCACGGCAGCCTCAGCAGGGTCATCCCCACTTTGCCCCACGATGTTTTCCAGCCCGAGGGATTTCCGTTCCCCCAAGACCTCACGGAATTACTCAGAAAATCTGAAAAACTGTTCCTGACAGTCGGAGATTGGATCACCGTTCTTTCCCCTAATAATGGTGATAGGTGTGGCTCTGAAACTTACTCTTTTAATGGAATTAAAGAGTGATTTGTGATCGCGGGCTACTGAGGCAGACTCCATCTCCTCAGCAACCCATGACCACCACCCATCCCTGCAGCGCCTCATGGCTCTCCAAACCTCCGAGCGAAAGCTGCGGTAAGCCTCCTCATTCTCTGCTGTGGGATGTTGTAGGTGGTGAGACTGGGTCTGTCGCTTGTTCTCACCCAACCTGAACACCTCCTCTGTCAGCCAGGGTATCTGGGGAGGTTTGGACCGTGTAGCCAAAGCAGCCATTGCAGCTGCATGAGCCACAGTCCTAAGCCTCGCCCATTTCGCCTCAGCATCAGGAGGAGTGAGGGACGATGCCAACCTCAGTTGCAAGCGATGATGAAATTCTCGCAACTTTCATCAGCTAGCTGAGACCAGGGCACTGTGAGTTTGAATGGGGTCCTGGGTGTACACCCACCACCGGAGTGGAAGAATGGCAGGCGCATCTTACAGATGACAAGTCGATGGTCAGTGGGCAGATCAGCTCCACGGCAGGTCCTGGGGTGTCAAGGACATGGGCTCGCATCCGCTGGTCCGTCACTATGTAGTCCAGCAGATGTTCTTGCTTCGACCATGCGTGCATCCATGATGTTGCGTGGATGCACCGATGCCGGAACAGCGTGTTAGTAATTACAAGCCCATGAGCAGCCTCCTACCATTGTTATTGAACTGGTCTGGCCCATGCCCTCCAATCACTCCAGACCAGGTGCCAGCATCATGACCAACTTGGGCATTGAAGTCACCCAACAAGATGACTCTATCCCGAGGGGCCACTTTAGCCAGCACCTGTGACAGGAGGTCATATAAGGCATCTGACTCATCGGCCGTGTCTGCATCCCTCTACTAATGTTCATCTTCGGTGGGGGCATAAGTAACCACGACCACCATTCCTCGCCTCTGGTTTATGGGAAGGCGAGCCCAAAGTAGCCTGGTGCTTACAGCTTCCCACACCTCACCGCCACGCTCCCACGCCCCCTTCATTCTTTTGTTCAGAAGAAGAGCCACACCCTATTGTTTGGCAGTGTCCTGCCCCGAGTAAAGGACTATCCGCCCCTTATGATGGCAGAACTCCTGAATACTGCAGAGATCCAGGTGGTACTAGTCCAGCTCCCGACAGAGGAGTGGCAGCCTCTCTTCCGCAGATTGAACATTCCACGTGGCCACCCGCAGTGGCCTTTTGTTGTTTCTGGAGGAACCCCGAGGGTAAAGATTCAGTCTTCTGGCTCCGCCAAATGGGGTTTGGCCAGGAGGCATCATAGATGCACACACACGCACGTACACACACACACAAAGCAACACACACACGCACGTACACACACACACACGTACACACACACGCACGTACACATACACAAGCAACACACACGTGGACAGTGCATGCATTATCAGAGTTGTTTTTTGTTTGCGTTCCGACCGCAGGAATAGTCAATGTAAACATGACTCCTTGTAAAAAAGGTGTCAGTTTTATTGCCAGATAAAAGGGTAAAAAAAACAATTATCATAGTTTGTCATCGATCCTCAGAACTAAAACTTTGTTGATCTTGTTACCAGGTGTAGGGTTCCCACTCATATAGACCCACAGAGACCCACAGAGACCCATACAGACTCATAGAGACCCATACAGACCCACAGAGACCCATACAGATTCATAGAGAGCCATGGTCATAGAGACCCACAGATACCCAAACTCATAGAGACCCACAGAGACTCACACTCATAGAGACCCACAGAGACCCATACTTATAGAGGCCCATAGAGGCCCATAGAGACCCACACTCATAGAGACCCACAGAGACCCATATACAGAGACCCACAGAGAACCGTACTCAGATACCCACAGAGACCCATATACATACAGACCCACAGAGACCCATACTCATAGAGACCCACAGAGACCCATAAACATAGAGACCCACAGAGACCCATACTCATAGACCCACACTCAGAGACCCACAGAGACCCACAGAGACCCATACTCATAGACCCACACTCAGAGACCCACAGAGACCCATACTCAGAGACCGAAACTCATAGAGACCCACAGAGACCCATATACATAGAGACCCACAGAGATCCATATACATAGATACCCACAGAGACCCATACTCATAGAGACTCATAGAGACCCATACTCATAGAGACCCACAGAGATCCATACACATAGAGACCCACAGAGACCCATACTCATAGAGACCCATAGAGACCCACACTCAGAGACCCACAGAGACCCAAACTCATAGAGACCCACAGAGACCCACACTCATAGAGACCCAAAGAGACCCAAACTCATAGAGACCCACAGAGACCCATACACATAGAGACCCACAGAGACCCACACTCATAGAGACCCACAGAGACCCAAACTCATAGAGACCCACAGAGACCCATACACATAGAGACCCACAGAGACCCACACTCATAGAGACCCACAGAGACCCACACTCATAGAGACCCACAGAGACCCGTACTCAGATTCCCACAGAGATCCATACTCAGATACCCACAGAGACCCACACTCAGAGACCCACAGAGACCCACACTCATAGAGACCCACAGAGACCCATACTCATAGAAACCCACAGAGACCCAGACTCATAGAGACCAAACAGAGACCCATATACATAGAGACCCACAGAGACCCATACTCAGATACCCACAAAGACCCATACTCAGAGACCCATAGAGACACACACTCATAGAGACCCACAGAGACCCACACGCATAGGGACCCACACTAAAACTAAACAATGTTGATGTTTCGATTTAAAGCTTTCGTGACTGCAGGGATTAATATTCTTGGTTCTTTCGGTAAAGTCACGGAGAAGGGAAACAATAAAAAGTATTGTTTTATATTTATATATGAAAAATGTTGATGTTACCAGGTGTAAGACCGCACTGAACTACTGTGTAGTAGATACTTCATCAGAAGCAGCTCAACCACGTGGGCTGACGTCAACATCTTCACGTGGGATGACGTCATCACCACCACGTGGACATTCATAGCGGCACTCAAATCCTCTGAACGCGTCAGTGACGTCGACTCGAAACGTGGAGGGGAGAACAGAGGACTCTGAGAAGAGTCCTCGTCAGGGTCGGGATAGAACCCACGACCTCCTGTGTACCAGGCGAGGTAGTCAACATCTCACGAGCTACAGTGGCTACAGGCATCGTCAGGGTCGGGGATCGAACCCACGACCTCCTGCGTACCAGGCGAGGTAGTCAACATCTCATGAGCTACAGTGGCTACAGGCATCGTCAGGGTCGGGGATCGAACCCACGACCTCCTGCGTACCAGGCGAGGTAGTCAACATCTCACCACAGAGAGAGAGACGCAGACTCCACAAGTACATCAGCAGGCATCATCAGGGTCAGGATCGAACCCACGACCTCCTGTATACTAAGCGAGGTAGTCAACATCTCCCAGCCATGGGGAGAGAGATGCAAACGCGGTGGCCGTGATGATGACAGTGGTGGTGATGGTGGTGATGGTGGTGATGGTGGAGGTGATGATGATGGTAATGGTGGAGGTGATGATGGTGGTGGTGATGGTGGTGGT